GGCGCGAGCAATCCAGGCGCCGCCAACGGCACCGCGGCGCCGACGGGGGGCAGCGCGCTGCGCGCGCTGGCGGAGAGGACTGAGGGGTACAGCGGTTCGGACCTGACGGAGCTGTGCAGCATGGCCGCTGCCATCCCCTTCCACGACGCCGCGCCCACGCAGTGAGACAGCAAGAATGGGGGGGTGGGGGTCTGGAGTGGATGGGGGACACCGGCGGCGCAGGGGCAGGAGGAAGGGGGGCCTCCTGAATCTGTGCGGCCATGGCTTCGCAGCGGTTGCGGCGCACCGGTGGGTGTTACGACCGTATGACCCAGGTGCTGCCGTATGTGCCGTCCTCCACCCCTGCCATTCCAACCTGCAAACTCCCCCTTCCTCACGACGTACAGATCGTCGCCGGCACCCTTGTCGCTGCGGCACTTTGAGGCGGTGCTGGCGGCGTACACACCGCCCTCCCGCGCCGCGCAGGAGACGCAGGCGGCCAAGCGGCGGGGGGGGAGGGGGGTTGCGGACCTTCCGGCGCGGGAGGACTCCATGCGCGTCCTGGCGGCCATGTTCAACAGCATGCTGGGCAGCCAGCAGCAGGAGAGCGAGGAGGAGGGCAGCGTATAGAGGCTGGGCTGCCGGCGCGGCCGGCCGGCCGCATGAGTGTGGAGGGCGGGTGCGGGGCTGGAGGGGCAGGCAAGGTGGCCTGGCTACCGCCCAGCATCCCATCGCCCCTCCGGAGGGGCAGGGTCCGTCGTGATCGGAATGGATCCCCGACGAGGGCCCCACAAATCCGCAAGCCACTCGCTCTGTCGACGTTTTTACACTCCTTTAGTGGCCTAGTTTCTGCACGTACGCATGACCATGGTGCCAGTAGCGCAGCTGTCAAACATGAACCTATGCAAGGGTGCCGGGCCACACATGCTGGGGCCCAGGGTGGTGGCACCGAGGAGGGCCGTTCGGGTCAGTGCCCAGCAAACGCTCGTCAATCCCAGCATCAAGAAGGTTGGCGTTGTGGTTCACGACGATCTTGGTGGGGCATGGGTATGGTCTGGCGTCGTCGACCTCCACTCGTCCTCCAGCCACTCCAAATGCCGGCCCTCGCCCTCCCCCTGAAGGATGAAGCCAAGGTGGTGGACACCGTGTCCCCCAGCGACCTCGAAAAGCCTCAGGTATGAGCTTGAAGTCATTCATTTCATGTTGTGCTGCATGGGTTTCAGTGCTGATGGCCTTGCCCAGCCCGACATGATGGGATGGTTGACTGTGCCCTTTAACATCACAAACCACTCCTATAGATACCCACATTCCACTTCTTCCCAAAATGCCCATCAGACCTCTTACTGTCGCTGCTGGCGTTCGGGCACCTTCCCACTCTGCGACGGGAGCCATGTCAAGTATAACAAGGAGTCAGGTGACAACGTCGGTCCCCTCCTCGTCAAAAAGGCCTGAAGCTTGGGGTTGAGCCTGCAAGCCGGCATGGGCTCACAGCAACTTCTTTGAGAGTCCCAGTCAACAGCAAGAAGGCCAAGAGGGGAGTAGCCCCCTTACCCTACCTCACGACACCATCGAAGAATCTGCATCATGAGTTGTCTGAGTCTATCTTCGTCGATCATGTCTGAAGACAGAGGTGAGGTCTTCACAGCCCGCCGAAAGGCTGTGCCATTCCCACTCATAGGAAGATCAATCGCTGTAACTTTGAAGCCAGATAGGGTTGAGAGCAGATTCGAGCAGTCTTTGCGAGTGCTTTATCGGCCCGAACATGCATGGATGGCTGTGAGGTTTACATATCTTTCCCTGAGAAGCGCAACCCTTTGCTGGCTGACACTTGGACGCCCAGTCCTTTTCAACTGGCCCCCTCATATTCGGGACCTCCTTCGCAGGGATGCTGGGGCCATGCAGGGGACAGCCTGAGACTGATAGAGTTTCCACGATTTCAGAGGGAGGAAGGGGGGGAGGGCAACACGAGACCTCGCCCACACTTCCCACGGCTGTGGCTGCCAGCAGCCACCAGGTTTGGGCAGGCAGGGCAGGCGGCCGGGCAGAGCAGACACCTCGCAGCCCGGCACGCGTGGAAGAGCAGTCTCCTGATGGTAATGCATCGGCCTGTTTACATGCATTGTTCTCACTCCACCAGCTCCTCGTTATCAATCAGGTCGCCATCCATGTAGTCCTCCTCGTTAAACCCTCGTACCGGTGCCTGCGGATTGTTGCGATGGGCGTATGGGGTGGATACGTGTGTGTTAAGGGGGGAGGGGGACCGGGCCTCATGTCAATCCATGCTGCATGATGGCCAGGGAGTCCTCAGCACAGCCCTGGTGGTGGGGTGGCCCCACCCCTCCCGACGCACCCGTGGCTACACCACGCCGCAACAGCACAAACGTCCAAACCATACAACCCTCCCACCGCTCACCACCAGGACTGGGCTCTTCTCCCGCGCCAAATTCACGATCTTCTTGATCTCCTCCACCGTCTGGGAGGGGCGGGGCGCGGCCTCCGTGCTGGCCACGCCGCCGTCCCGCAGCTCCTCTGGCAGGTTGCGCAGGAACCAGGGGTGCGCCTTGATCTGGCGGATGCGGATGCGCTGCGCGGGGTTGGCCACGAAGATGCGCTGAAGCAGGTCCGCGCACTCGCGACTGAGCCGGATGTTGGCGGGAAAGGTGTATCGCACGCTCATGATGCGCTGAATGGTCTTGCGGAAGTTGCGCGGGTCGGCCGCGTCCTCAAAGGGGTAGGCGCCTACCAGCATGACATAGAGGGTCACACCACAGCTCCACACGTCCGCCGCCTCGCCATCGTAGTTCTGGCGGGACAGGACCTCTGGCGCGATGTAGGCCGGTGTGCCCACCGTGGACTTGGGCTGGGAGTCCAGCAGCGCAGACTGGGGGAGGGGAGGGAGGGGAATGGGGGAGAACGGTTGTAGGTGTGGGGAATGGGACAGGGAGGGGCCGGGCTTGAGAATCCTGGGGATGGTATGTGCAGGCATCTCCCAGATGGGGTCATTGCAATGTCAAGGATGGTGTGACAGAAGCATTCAGACCAGGCTGCGCCACTCTGCATCTGTAAGTACTGCGTCCCGTGAAGGGCGAGAGTCCCCCCCCCGCACCTTGCTGTACCCAAAGTCGCAGATCTTCAGGCGCGGGGCTTGTCGGCCATCCAGCAGGGTGTTCTCCAGCTTCAGGTCGCGGTGGCATACGCCCTGGCATGGAAGGAGCGGGTGAGGGGTGAGAGGTCTGACGCAGAGTGCGGCCCCAGCCGCCAAGTCATAATTGTGACCAGGGACATTTGGGGGAATCTTCAGCAGAGGACATGGGCACCGGAAGGAGCACCCGTTTGGAGGAGGATTGTGCCGTTCAGAGTCTTGGAAGGACCCCGCCCCTGGTGAGCAAGGCAATCCTGCCTCGAGAGCTCGATCGTTCCCCCGCCAAGATACCCAAGGGATCATTTCGAGGGAAGGGCACAGCATGCCCCTGTCTCAAGCAGCATGCCTAACACCACCCTTGGCAGCCCGTTCCCGCACCCATTTGTGACACCAGGAGACCCCGGAGATGAGCTGCTGGAAGAAGTACCGTGCCTCGTCCTCCTTGAACCGCCCCGCGGCCACGATGCGCTCGAAGAGTTCCCCCCCCGCCGCATACTCCATGGCGATGCCAAGGTGGGTGGACGTCACAAACACCTGCGGTGATGGCGAGGGGGCGCGCCCGAAGATGGAGGAGTGCAGTGGGGCAGGGGTGGATGGTGGTGCCTCTGCCGCGCCTTTGAGCAGGTCGGTCTTCCCAGGGGGGTCAGGCTATGCGGCTGTCTGGGGGCACCGATCCCGCCCGTGCACACCTCCCGAAAGCGGATGATGTTGGGATGACCGGACAGCTCCCTGTGGTTGATGATCTCCCGCTCCACATTCCTGTCGATCTGTGATGTGCATGGAGGCCAGGGGATGCCGGGGATGAGGACGCCCCGCCGATCACACGCCGGTGATACCTGCCCGAAATCCCGGCACGCCCGGCTCACCTTCTCGCCTCTTTCAATAAACTTGATCGCGATCAGCTCCCCTGTAGACCTTTCTCGCATCAGCTTGGCCACGCCAAAGTTACCGGATCCTATGTCCTTGATCTGGAGGGGTGTACGGCAGGGACTCGGGTACACGACCGAGGTATCTGCACACCCAGAAGGAATGGACCTCCAACCAGACACCGCGCCCCCGGGCCCCGATCCCACCAGCTCGTATTTGGTGTTATTGATGTCCATGTTGGCACGTGGACCTGCGCGGTCCTAACCCTCCCCGAGCAGCGTGCCCACTCCTAGAACATCTCGCGCCCGAGGGAGACGGGGGGTCTGGGCCTGGTCCAGAGGGTGTGTACAGCGGCAATGCGGGACCGAGCAGGGGGGCCGCGCAAGGGTGTGCATGCCTCCTGCTCCACCTCGCAGGCCTCTTGGGCTTGCCTCTGCTGCCGGGGTCCCGCCTTCCAGCTCGCCGAGACCTACCACGCGTAGTGGCGCCTTCCCGCCTCGGGCACGTCCCTTCAAAATCAGCTGATCGCAGGGTGTGACATAGCCTTCCCTCTGCGAGACATAGACCGACTAAAACATCATGTAGCTCCTGGAATTGCGTTGTAATGCCTGGTTCTGTCGCCTGCAGTGTTTGATTCCCAAAACCGTCTCCACTTATCAGACCCATGGGTGACCCTCAGCCCTTTTCGCTTCCTCCTACTATCACGCAAGAATGGGTGCGGGAACTTGAACGGGTTTTACTGGACCTCTCGAGGCAGCCGCCTAGGTCCCTGACGGGGGCGGTTTCCAGCGACCTGCTCCTCTCCATACTCACACAAGCAGAGTGCACCCTGCGAGCAGAACCCACGCTCCTCGAGGTGAGCGGGCGCAAATGCTCTTGATCAGATGCCAGGAAATACAAGGTCGAGACTTCATCATTGTCACTGTATTGGCCCTGCACAGGTTGACCCCCAAGGAGCCTCTGTCACTGTGGTGGGAGACACTCATGGCCAATTCCACGACGTCTGCCACATGTGGGTGCTGGTCGGTGGAGAATGGGGCTCAGCCCCAGGAGTGCCACAGGGGGTGGAAGGTGCACAGTAGAGTTTGCATCAGCGCATGTGATCACGTATTCTCTTCACTTGGCCCGTTCTCAACAATCCATTGCCACAGATTCAAGGTTGCTGGGTACCCATCACCAGCATCACTCTTCATCTTCAACGGTGACTTTGTAGACAGGGGTTCCTGGGGCCTAGAAACCCTGCTCCTCCTCCTGGCATGGAAGCTGGCAGCACCGCAGCATGTGCATCTGTTGCGAGGGAACCACGAGACAGCCCTCTGCACCATGGTGTACGGCTTCAAAGGCGAGCTGGTTGCCAAGCTGGGCCGAGGGAAGTGGAAGGTGAGAGGCAGCCTTAAGTGTGCTGCTTTCTTGTTCAAGACGACTTTTTCGCGCAGCAAAGGCTCCTCAGCTTCTTGAAAGTGTTGCTGCTGGGGTGAAATGTGTGCTTGTTGAGCCCTGTCAGGCCCGCTCAAGGTCAGGAGACGCAACCTTGGCGGTCTGGTTATGAGGTTAGACATTGTTGGGAACGGCCACCTCATGGCCTTGCTCCTTATTCTGTAACATCAATTGACTCCTCTGCACCAAACTGCCCTCATCACCCGCGCAGGAGGTGTATGGCGGTTGCAAGCGCGTCTTCTCGGTGCTACCCCTGGCCGCCCGCGTGGCGAAAACGACGCTCATCCTCCACGGCGGCCTCTTCCGGAAGCCCAACCCGCCCAACCGGGCTCGGCAGAAGCGACGCAGTGGGTGGAATTTCCAGTGCTGCTGTTGTGGAGAGGAGGCATGTGTGGTTCCTAACGGACGGGTTGGGGCTGACAGAAGTTTCTTCCTCGTTCAAAGAGCTACACTCTGCAATCTTTTTCACATTACCTCCCCCCACTGCGGGAGATTTCCGTGTTTGCATCCCAACCCCAGGGCAGTCTCCCAACATCCAAAACACTAAACCCCGCCCCCATCTGCCGCAGAAATCAACGCGCTGGAACTGGGTTCCCTGGAGGATCTCAGGGCGGCTCACAAGGGCGGCATGGACCCCAACGGCACGGGCGCTGCGCGGCTGGCCACCGACGTCCTGTGGTCCGACCCCCTGTTGGACCCCGGATTCCAGTTCAACACCACGCGCAACATCGGCATGGTGTTTGGGCCAGACGTGACGCAGGCGAGGCCTGGTGATGAAGCGTGGGGGTGGGGCGTGGGGGAGGGGTGAGGTGGTGAAGCATGGCACTGGGGCGTGTTGAGAGCCGACACGCACATACCTGCAGCACCTCGACACCCCACCCCCCCCACCCTGCGCATCCACAGAGGTTCCTGGAGGAAAACGGGCTGAGGCTGATCCTGAGGAGCCACGAGGGCCCCGATGCCCGTGAGGGGCGGGAGGACCTGTCGCCGATGACGGAGGGCTACACCCTGGACCACGACACCCCCGCTGGGCGGCTCATGACGGTCTTCAGCGCCCCGGACTACCCGCAGTTCATGCCCGAGTCGCACGCGCGGTACAACAACAAAGCGGCACTGGCGGTGCTCACTGCGCCAGACTACGCGGCTCCCACTTTCTTGCAGTTCGAGGCGGTTCGCCCGCGCCCGATGGTGGGCTCAGGGGATGGGTACCAGAGTGAAAGGGTTTCGTGGGCCAGGGGGAAGAGGTGTCGGGTTGCCTGCGCTGTTTCCATGCCAAGTGCATGTTGGAAGGAGCAGGGAGGGCTGGAATCAGGTCGACCACCCCCTCACGGGAACCATTCCGGTCCGCGCCAGCCCGACCTTTCCTGATGTGTTCCCTGTACCGCACAGGCCCACCCGTACTACGACCTGGGCGTGCCTGACTCGGACGAGGAGCTGGAGCCGCTGGCCTCGGATGCCAGCGGCATGACGGACGTGGAGCAGGACACCAGCACCACCTCGGAGGCCAGCGTCTCTGTGGCCCTGCCGGCCGGGAGGGGCGGCGAGGAGGTGGCCAGCGTCGGCGCGGATGCACCATGAGCGCCCTGGGCCCGGAGGTGCGTGGCCCTGCCCACGCGGCGCGTGCGAGTCTCCAGCCATCGCAGCGACGTGGCTGTCACCACGCCATGGCGGTGTGTGGGGACGTGCAGAGTGTGGATCGTTGCACTGCAGCACACTGGGTGGCAGAGTTCGATTCACAGGGCAGATGAGCTGTTGACAGGGAGGGGGCAAGATGGTGCAGGGTGAGGCAGGCATCGGGGGTTGAGGGTGAGGGAGAGAAGCTAGCGCGTTCCTGCCAAGCATCACAGGAATCACTCAGGTATCAACAGCTCGATTAGGATGACCACGAGAGTGCACTGCTGCATCCAGAAGGCTAGCATCCTCAGACGGGGAAGGAGATCTCTGGGGGCGCGCCCTGGCCGGGTTGGAGCTCAGGGGTGCGGGGCGGGGCGGGGGCCTCCATGGGTGGCGGGGTCGGCATCTCGCTTGGCGGCCGGGTGCCGGGGAAGTCAGGTGGCGGCTGCGGATGGGGGACCTGTTTTGTAGGGGTGGAGGGGGAGGAAGGCTGTGGGCAAGGGCTCGAAAGGAAGTGGGATGAGTGAACACTGCACGCCAGCAGGGAAGGCCGTGCATACGCAGGACCTACTGCATGGAGAGCCCAGCTTGCAATGCACTGGGCGGTGGTTCCCATTCTTGACCCAGGCGATCTGACGCAGACATGCCAGCCGCAGGGAGGCAAGCTACTGCAGCTTCAACCACGATCACCTCAAGCGGGGGTCGCTTGGGCTGGCTAGGCGTCTCAGGCTCTGGCGTCTCAGTGGGCTGCGCAGGCTCCTCCTGAATTTTTGGAATGGCGGAAAGGGTGATCGCTGTTGCACGCGGATGGGGACAACCAGAAAGCAGTGAGCATGATCCCCCGTCAGCTACTGTTCTACGGTCTGTCGCATTGGCACCTTTTTGGGGTGGTTGGGTGGCACCTCGGGCATGGGGTTGTCGGGCTCCGGTGGCTGAGTGGAGGGCTTTGCAGGCTCGGCCTCCCCAGGAACAGAGAAATCAGGGAAGGGCAGACGGTCCGGGTCACTGGCAGGCACCTGTGAATCGGTCTCGTGGAGATTGTGAACGTGCTGCTGATTAAGACGTGCTGGTCATCATTTGGCGTCCCGCGTGTGCTCTTACACCAGCTTGCCTTTGTGACTGCCTGGCCATGGGTGCGCCCCCGGCCCCACCAGCTTGCCCGGCTGTTCCGATTGAGCTGCGGGCAGCTATCGCATCTCAAGGCGGAGCACATGCTGACCTTTGGCAGCACATACCTACACATGGTCGGGAGTCTAGGGTCATTGGGGGCGCCAAGGTGGGTCCCGCTGGCATCCAAACTCCGCACATCCTGACGAAGCAACCCCATTGCAGGGGCACGCACCCGGGCCTACCCATTGATGGATGTCAGCATGAATGCGCTCATTATGACTAGAGGCGGTGTTATGGGAAGCTGAAAATGGTTTGTCTGTTCAGCGGTGGTGGGTCGCGTCACATTTGTCCATGCCGACACCCGTGTGCGGGATTAGTATTAACCATGGGCAGCTACGCAGCAGCTACCCCGATTCCAGCGCAAAGACAGCTCGGTCGGACATCACCCTCTGCCTCTAGACACGGTATGGTTACAAGGCCTCGGCAGACAATCAAGCAGGATTGCCCTGCCGTACGACAGGAATGGTACATGTCAGTCCTCCCCCGCCCCCACCGAGGGCCGGCGCTGCTTGGCCAGGCTGCCACCCAGCTGCAGCTCGACATCGGCCGCGGCGGGTGCGGCGCCCTCGACCCGGCCCGCCCGCCGGTCGAACGGCGCGGGCGGGCCGTCGTCGGAGTCGTCGCCGGCGGCGGGTGGCGGGATGGGGCTGGCCTTCGCCTTGGCGTCCCGGCGCAGCGTGAATGAGGCCTGTGGGCCGGGCAGCTGCAGGCGCGCGGGCGCAGGCCTGCCCCCCGGCGCGGAGACGGGGGGCAGGTCGCCGGAGCCGGAGGGCCCCACCGCCCCCAGCTCAAAGGCGTGCGCCGATGGCACGCGCGGGCTGGCGCCCAGCTCCACATCCCAGCGCCCCGCGTCGTGCAGGGGCGAGGGGCTGCGCAGGGTCAGGCTGCCCGACAGCCGCCGGCCGGGCGGCGAGTCGAGCTCCAGGCGTGAGCCGGAGGCAGTGCGCCCCGCCGCGCCGGCCCCTGCGCCAGGGCCCGCGCCGTGCTGGCTGGCGGCCGCGTGCTCGTCGGCGCGGCGCACCGCAGACTTGATGCTGTAGGACACGAACACCGCGCCGAAGACGCACATGACCAGGCTCAGGCCCAGCAGCACCCACTCCACCGCGCTGCCCTTGGCGTCGCCGGAGACGATGGAGGTGATGCTGCTGGCCACGCTGCCGATGTAGCAGAAAATGCCGCACTCGAAGATGATGCCCACCGCCGACACCAGCGTGAACTGGGTGGAGGGGGAGAGGGGCGGGGTGGTGTGGATTGGTGTGGCTGGCGTGTTAAAGGCTGATCGCTGGCTGGGGTTGGTGAGGTGTCATGCAGGTATGGTTTGTCGATTGTCCTGCTCGACCATATCCCTTCCCCCCTTCCCCCCCGGGGGTCCCCCACCCACCACAACACCCCCCTTCTTTCTGCCGCACCTGCCAGAAGGGCATGCTGGTGGTGGCCATGGCGATGTTGAGCAGGTTGTAGGGGATGATGGGGGACATGCGCATGATGAGCACCAACTTCCAGCCGTCGTGCTCGATGGCGCGGTCCAGCACCTCCCACTTGCGCCACCGTCCGCGCAGCGTCGCCTCCACCCAGTCCCGCAGCAGGTAGCGCGCCAGGAGGAAGGCGAGCGCCTGGCCGATGGCGCCGCCGATCCACACTGCCAGCAGACCCTTCCAGAAACTGCATGTATTGGGGTGGGTTGACAGGGTTGAGGTTGATGGTGCGGGTTCTACCAGGCTGCCATCGCAAAGGCATCGAGCTTCACACAAGGGGGGCCAAAGACACTGACACCGAAGCGTGTGGCATGGCCCAGCTTTGTTTTCCTGCAAGACTTGCCAGGTTCCCTACCGAGCCACCCCACCACTTTCCCCCTGCCCAGCTCACCCAAATACAAAGCCAGCGCCCATGATGAAAACGACGCCTGGGAGGAAGACGGCGACCAGGGCGGTGTACATGCCCAGGAAGATGCCCCACCCCCCCCAGTTGTTCCTGGACTGGAACCAGCGCAGGAGGTCGCCAAAAATGGAGAAGCCCTGCGGCTTGCGTTGGCGGAGGGCATTTGAATCCTCTTGCACAGGTCATGAGCTTGCAAAATTGAGCATAGAACAAGGCATCCTCCTAAAATCACCACGAATGCTTGTCTCAGCACATGATGCATCCATCACTCTCCCCCAAATCCCGCCGTCCACTGCACCTTGACAGCTGTCAACACGATGAGAGCAATGATGAGGCCGAGGATGACAAATTTGTACCAGTTCACAAGGAGGAAACGGAGAACGCCTAAGGCATAGTGCCGGAAGCCCCGAGGGGCAGCCAGTCCCTCTGGCAGGCCGGCCCCTGCTCCTTCTAGCGGCTGTTGATGGTTAAGAAAGCAGGGGCACAAAGTTGACCACTTGGGCACTGCGCAATCCAGAAAGAAAGCCCTTTCAGCTAGATTGCAAATGCTCCAAAGCCATCCCAAATCCTGCGACCCTAGAGACCCTGGACGATCGCATGCCCTGTGCCCCACCAGCGTGCTCACCTCATCATCTGAGAGCATTCCAGGGGCCCTGGACTTGATGAGACGGGCATTGTCGTCATCGTCGGCAGATGCAGGGGAGTGGTCCTTTAGGTCAAAGTCTGTCCCGGCAACACCCGTGGCGTCCCCGCCCGAGCGTGTGCCCCAGCGAAATAGTCGCCTGAATCTCCCTTGAGGGACCTGCTGTGCGCGGGCAGTGTGGACGAACCTGAGCACGGGAGCAGGGACGGGAAGCACGGTGTATGCAGGGCTGGGTGCTCGCGTCCTACGTCACCAGCGCGACTCACAGGCTGCGAAGGACCAGCCTCCGCCCAGTCGTCCCTTGCGGGCAGGCCGGATCGCAGATGTTGAGCATCGATTCCAGTATCCCCCAGGGAGCTCGCTGTCTCGCCCTCTCCGCTCTGCTTGGCAGCTTCGTCGATCAGGTTCAGCTCCATATCGCTCAGGGATTTAGGGAGACCCGGGCCGGCGTACATGGCCTCTACTACAGACAATATACGCTAAGGAGCAAAACTCAAGCAGTTCGAGGCCGGTCATGAGGGTTCAGTGCGAGTCGTCGTCTCGCCCCCCCCCTTCCCGTCCCGTGGGCAGCAAGGCTGGAGGGTGAGCTGTCGACGCCCTGAAGGCGTCTACCTTGGTCTAATAGGTCCTCTGAAAGGGGGGGCTGTGTGGGGTGTGTCGAGGGTGGGCTCCTGACAGAACCTCAACATCCCAGGGCGCGATTCCCGCTCGAAACGTGCTCCGCGACGATCCTTGTAATTGGATGCTGACAGGCGCACTCGATGTGGGAAAACGTCGTACCCTCGTGCGGTTGCACCGTCCACACAATCCCAACCCTCTCTTCCAATCTCGATGATGCCATGCAGCTGTAGGCTTCACAACTCGACAGACGTGGGCCGAAGCCCGAGTGTTCAAACCTGACTTGCAGTCGGAGACATGGCGCATTTGAAGGTTTTCAAGCAGCGCCTCTTACAACAATTTCAAGACGAGAGCGATGCGAAACTCAGGGCTGCCACCAGCGTTGCCAGCGAGACGCCAGCACAAGGTGCTTGGGATGCGCGAGATCATAGTAGACCTCCTGGACCTGCATGGCTCATGTCAACGGGTCATCATCCTGCGTCCCTGTCCTGCACTAGATCCTGCCCTCTCGCCACGACATGCAGAGAGTGGGAGAGTGACTGCAAAGCATTCGCCAGCCTCCAGCTCCCAACCTCAGCTGGAACCCACCACCAGCGGCAGAGCGCTCAGCACCGGCGTGCCCCCCGACTTGCCGGCCTCCGACAGGTGGGTGGGAACCCGAGTTGTGCGCTTTGGGCGGCGAGTGGGGTGTGGGGCTGACTTCTTTGACAAATACATGCGATGTGTCCTAGGTGCCAGACCCTGCACCTCGTGCGAAGCAGGGCGCGAGCCTCATGTCTGAAGGCGCGGGACCGGGAACCCCCAGACGGCGACGACGGGCTGCCCACCTCCCCTCGGTCCCGCCAGCGCCCAGGCGCCGGCCAGCCCGGGCCAAGACCTGGGAGTGGCGCGATGGCAGGCGGCCGAGGGACCCCCGCGCTAAGAACCGGGTCGGTGGGGAAGGCCGTGAAGAGGGGCCCTGGACGCGAGGGAACCCCTCCCGCCGCGGCGGCGGCCGGGGCGCCGGCGCAGCCCAGGCACGCCAAGCGCGGTGTGGGCGACCGGCTCGACGCCCTGAGCGCGGGCAGCAGCCTATCCCCGGCCGCCACCTCCCTAGCCCAGGCACCGTCGACCGCGGAAGCCCATCGCGCCCCCGCCATGGAAGCCGCCCCGGCGTCGGCCACGGGCCCCTCCCCTCTCGGGGTGCGGGCGGTGGGCACGCGCCCCGTCCCGCTCCCGGTAGACCTGCAGCCGACGCCCACGGCGCAGCCCCAGGCCCTCAGGCCGCTGTCGCTGGCGGGGGTGGGCAGCCTGGCCGAGTGTTGGGCGGCCCTCCGCGACGCCAACCCGGGGACGGACCTGGAGCCCACCCCCCACCTGGTCTTCCTCGATGCCGAGGAGGACTGGCTCGTGCTGGACGACAACGTCCCCTGGGACCTGGTGACCGAAACCGCCCAAAAACTCATGCTTGTCAGCACCCTGTAACCGCCCAGGCTCCTTTCATGCTCGCAAAGCTGGCGGAGTACGAGCATCCAGATGGGGAAAGGGGTCGTGATGGCAGCGGCACAATATCAGCCGCGCGGACGGGCTTGGCTTGCAGTCGTACGGCAGACGATAGGCATACAGGCTTGATTTCCACATTGTGGACGACCAGTGTCGCCTGATCCGTTCCCCCGCGGTGGCATTCCTCCCTGCCGCAGCCTAGACAGCCCTCTCACCCATTCGAACACTCATTTCCCTCCCCCCACTCTTGGCCGCTCCTGATCTGCTGTTACAGGCAGGGGTCGCAAATCGCAATTCTGGGAATACCGTCTCGGTGCAGGCAAGCCTACGCCGCACTCTGCAGCGCCAGTTCCAGTCGTTTGTTCAGGAACGCAAAGCTGGGTTGATCACGCAGGGCGGCCGGGATGCCCATCTCCCCCAGCAAGTCCTGGCGGTGAAAGTTGGGTTAGAGGATTTCGAGTTGGTCAAGGGGTAGGGATCAGTGGTCACCATGCGTTCCTTCAATGTTAAGATCCCAGCGACCAAACAGAGGCTGCAGGGCCTGCCCTCCTCTCCTCACCCCCATCTGCCCCCCTGCGCCTCCTCAACAAGCCCCCTGCGCACCTTGTCGTCCATGAAGGCCGCCACGTCGTCCTGGGTGAAGGGCAGGGCCGAGTCCTCGTCCAGGAGGAACGAGTGGGAGGCGGCCGAGGCGGCCGACTCCACCATCAGCGCCTTCATCCTGCTCAGCACCTCATGGCTCACGGTCTCGGTGCCATACCTGTGGGAGGAACGGGGGGGAAACCCGGGATCGGGCGTCGGCAGAGCGTGGGGGCAGACCTTGGAGTGTTGATGTGGAGACCAGCGGCCCTCTGCTCATCACACCCTCCCTTTCACCCTGACATCCGCCCCCACTCACGGTGTCCATTCGCCCCCCCCGCCGCACCCACCTGTCGTCCCAGTACATGGTGCTGATGCGGTACAGCTGCTGCACCGTCAGCACGGGGCAGAGGTCGGTGGTGATCTCCTGCAGGCTCTTCTTGTGCTTCTGGTGGATGACCAGGAAGGTGACGGCCTGGCGGATGTGGGCCAGGGCCTCCCAGCCCTCGCCCACCCAGGTGCGCCCGGCGCTGCCGGCCCAGATCTCCACCTCGGCCAGCCCCGTCTTGACGTACTCGCCGTTGGAGAAGGAGCAGCATTCGCGGCGCAGGAGCAGCTGGTTGAACAGCTGGACGTTGATGAAGGAAAAGAGCTGCTCGTACAGCTTGCGCACCAGGAAGGCGGGGACGTGGTGGTCGCGCAGCGTGCCCAGCGCCGACTCCAGCACGCCCAGGATGGCCGCCCAGTGCGCCGACCCCGCGTCTTGCCCTGTGGAGGAGCGCGTCACCCCTGTCAGACGCGCGGCGTGTGTTTTGGGAGGGGAGAGGAGGTTTAGGGTGGGCGGCGTGGTGAGCGGGAGAGAAGTGGTGAGCGGGAGAGAAGTGGTGAGCGGGAGAGTGGTGGTGGGCGGGAGGGAGGTGGTGAGCGGCCGGGTGCAGGCAGAGGAGCTGGGTGGGGGGAAAGTGCCACCCAGGCCACACACACTTGCACGCAGGGAGGGGGAGCAGTGGTCGTCGGCTGGCCGAGTCCTGCATGGTCTCTCGTACGCCCAGTATGGACGCGGCTCCAGACATCAGGCAGGGTCCCGGCATTCCTGCTGGCATTGCCTCAGCCATGATCCTGTAAATCCAACAGCCCCTTTCTCTGCCCAGGGCCCCCCCCCCCCCAAAAAAACAAAACCTTTGAGAACAAGATCGTGACATACCCAGGGGCGAGCGGGCGGGTGGCGCCTCCACGCCGTGGCTGGACCCCCGGCCGGGGCGGGAGGTCCGCCCCACGCCGCTGCGGGGGGCGTGGATGCAGGCCGCCAGGTGAGGCATGATGTCCTTCTTGATGTTGTCGCGCAGGGAGGGGAAGATCTTCTGCACAAACGCGTCCAGCTGCTGCTTGAACAGCAGGGCAGGGTACTTGGCCTCCACCTGTGGTCAAAGGTGGCATGGCAGCAGTACCTCGGAGGCAGCTCTTCAGGAATCGATGATCATCCAGGGGAGCGCATGGGCAGGTACCCACGGCCCTGCCCCGACGCGCATGGGTACGGTCTGCGCTGGATGTGTGCGACGGACCACGACGACGGGCCGAGACCCCAGCCGAGCACCCCGCTCCGACCCACTGCCAAACACCACCGGCACAACCCCTGCCCTCCCACCTGGCGCAAGCCGCCGGCAGCCCCGCCGTGGATGGAGGCCTCCCCGCCGGGAGAGCCACCGTACCCGGCGCGGCTGAAGAAGGACCCAAACCCGGCGGTCTTGCTGGTGCCTCCAAACAGGCCCCTGCATGAGGAACGGAGAACTGACAGCATGAAGGGGCAGTTTCTCAAGGGCTTGCCGCGGCGCAAGCAGGAGATGAGCTCGAAGGGGCCGGATTGCGAGGCCGGCGAGCCCTGTACCACGTTCCACCCGCCCAATCCCTCTCGCCGTCGCCTGAGCATGCACAGGATGCCCATGGAGGTTCTACAGGTGGCTCCTGCTGCTCCAGGGAACCCTCCCTGCAGAGGAGCAGAGATCAGGTGTACCACCTCCTCAGCCCCCCCTCACAGGCGACACCCAACCCCCTACACACACACCTGGTGACACTCTGGCTCTGGGACCTGAGGCGCTGCGTGTAGCTGCCGCCGCTGGCGGGCTTGATGTTGCGCTGCAGGAGGTAGAGCAGGGTGACCGTGTTGCTGAGCCAGTAGGACAGCACGGCGTTGTCCTCCTGGTGCGCCTCCACCTGTGGAGGAGAGCGAGGGAGGATGGGAGGGTTCGGCTGCTGGGTGGTGTGTGGAGAGTCCTGCGCAGTGGATATAGTGAATGCCCAGCTGACCCTCGGTCCCCACCGGCCCCCACCTGGGACCCCATGGTGGCGATGATGCGGTCGAAGAGGGGTGTCCGGTCGGCCTGGAAGGTCTTCCACTGCAGGCAGCAGCGGAAGACCAGCACCGCCGCCACCGGCCGGCCGCGCTGGTACCCCAGGTTCTCTGCACCAGGCGGGGTTTGGGTGCATCTTGGGAAGGGGTGTCTGAGATGCAGAGAACGCAGCAGACCGGCCTCCCTTCCGTGCCTCACCCCACTCCTCAAAGTCTTCCTCCATCCAAAGCCCACCTGCCTCCCCCATACTCAACCAGGCGCATCCCCCCAAACCCCTCTTCCCCCCCTCGCTCACCCGCGAGGCAGCCGAGGAGGCGGTCCTGGTCCGCGGAGCGCTGCTCCCGCAGCAGCTGCTGCTGCTTGGCGTACAGCTCCCGCTGGCGCCGATCCATCTCCGACAGCCCCTCCCCCGGGGTCTCGGCGCCGTACCCGCCGCGGACGCTGCCCGGCGTGGCCGGCGTGCCCGGCTCTCGGCTGGGCGAGGTCATGTAGCGCCGCACGCGGTCGAACACGCCGCCCTCCTCGGCCGGCGCGGCACGCGTGGGAGCGGTTCCCAGCGTGGCCTCTGGCCCCGGCCCGAGGTTCACGGGCGTGCCGCCTGGCACGGCGACGGCGAGCGCGCCGCTGGCGCTGCGGACGCCGCGCCCTTCTTCCTCCAGCACCGACTTGAGGCGCGCCTCCACCATCAGCGCCTCCTCGCGCGCCGCGTTGCGCTGCGCCAGCGCGTTGTTCAGGCGCGACATCAAGTCGGCCGCCTGGCCGGCGGCGCGGCGCTCCGCGTCCAGCCGCGCGGCCTCGCCCGCCCCCAGCCGCTGCTTGGCGGCCTCGGCCTCCGCGGCCGCCGCGGCGGTGGCGGCCGCCAGCTCGCCGCGCAGGCGCTCCACCTCCGGGCGGAGGGCCGCCAGCTCGGCCGCCAGCGCGTCGCGTCCCTCGGTCGTGGCACGTACCCGCTCCGCCGCCTCGGCCTCCAGCGCCGTCACCCGCTCGGCCGCCCCCCTCTCCGCCTCGCCCC